CCCTGTGCGCGTGGCTGCAAAGCAGGCAGCAGCACAGGGTTGCTTGCAGGGGAAATGCTGCCAAGGCAGCACGGAGCTCACAACGGCAAGCAGCTTTCCTGCATGGCCCCACTGTTCTTTGCAGTGCCAGGATACACCCACCAGGCTGCAGAGGCCCCAGGGGAGGGCAGCAGGGCAGGAGCCCAAACCTGCAGCTGGCACCCCGCACACAGACATTGGGGACACATGCCCCCCCTGCTCCCCAGAAGTGTGTGCAGCAGCAGGGAGCCAACCCCTCCAGCTTTCCCCCCAGACGAGCTGCCTACAGCCCCATCTCACTTCCCTCCAGGGCCCTGTGGCCATGCACTGCATCCCTGGGCCCCAAGCCACATGAACTGCCTGGCTGGGTAGCAGCCCCAGCCTCTGCCCTACTCCTTCCCTAAGGGGGCCCTCAATTCCACCCTCCCCATCCCCACAATTACCTGTGCAAGCTGCTCTGCCCTGCCTAACCATCATCTTCCTGCTCCCTCCCAGCTCCCTGCAGGCTAGAACTGTGCCAGCCTGCAGAGATCTCTTTGCAAAACTGCAAAATCCGCAGGTTTCTCTGGTAAAATGAGAAATCTGTGTTTGCTTCCTGTAAAAGATAAAATCTGTGGTTTTCTCCATGGGAAATGGAAAACCCGGATTCTTTGTCATGAGCAGAGATTGCTAACTGTGCTAAAATGTGAAAGCTTTATGCTATGGATAAACATCTGAAGATCCAGGAAACATACTTCACATATGATTCTATATAAATTTATAACTTGATTTTATGGAAAATTTCCATTTACTGTGTTCAAAATCTTAGGATGTTTGCACGTTATAAAAGAAAAACGGAAGAGAAGTACTCCAGTAATAGAACACGTCTGGTGGTTCATTCCAAATGCTGTTTGTTATGAAGTTCTGATCTAACCTATATCTGATTTTAACTCAACAGATATACTCAGAAAACATGATGAAACCTCAGGGCCTTTGTACACATGCATGCACCACAGCAGTGGGCGCTTTGAAAAGTGCGTGGTGCTGCGGTGTGTGTAGTTGTATAAGTGGCAAAATGCATGTCAGTGCTGAGAAAATGGTGGTGGTGTGCTTCTGAACTAAAACATGCTGGAGGTACTTTAGTTCAACAGTGCACCACTGCCATTTTCTGTCCAATTCACTGGATCTCCAGCGCACCCCTGCACAAAAATGTATGTGTATACATGCCCTTGCTTTCTAAGGAACTCAATGAAGGCTACAGAAACCTCCAAAAGAACAAGGAAGCTGATGATACCTTTCATTAGATTTGTTTTGTAAACTTATTTTCTGGCATCTGATATGCAAGGATGGACATTATCACATTTTCCTTGAAGGGAGTGACAACATATCAGAAACTACATGTGAAGGAGTGCTCAAGTGGAGCAGCCATCTTGTTCTCAATCAGCTCCAGTGGTCCTGGAGGGTCCATTTAATACAGGCTGCCTAAGAGTTAAACAATTACGGTGTATAATGAAAGGCTACTGGTGACATTTTGCATCACTATCTTCTCTATAGTGTGAACTGTGGGGATAAGGATTTACTCTTTCC